ATTGATTTACATTTACTACTATATTTTTCTAGAACTATACGCACTATACGTATAGTACTGATCTGCCCATCTCTAGCAACAACAAAGCATTTGTCCGGAAACCTTTTCTACTAATTTCAAAATATCCCAATTCGTCTTCATCAAAGCTTTCGATAGATTTAGGAACAATTCCTCTTCAATTCTTTCACGAATTGGCATTTTAATAACTAATCAACAACAGTTTTATATGGCGTAACTTTTAAAAAAACGTGTAAATTTTACGATGTAAATCAGTACCAAAATAGAGTTTATGGAAGGAACTTTGAATTCCTTATTTATAACATGGGGTGCTACAATATAAAAAATTCACAAAACATACTAACTCCAAATGAATGTGAGCTTCGTTAAAAACAGGTTTTACACGTCAGTATTATTAATCAAATGTTCTCTCGTGAATGCGAATTTCGGAGTTAAATATTTTTTTTAATCCAATGATCTAATAAAACTTTATTTAAATCCAATTCTTTCAATAATTATTTGTTTTAAAGAATTAAAATTATTTTTATTTCTTCAAAAAAAAAAGTGAAAAATAAAAATGCTTTATAATCATCAAAGAGGAGGAGAAAATTCGTCAATTCTTCTTCTGCTGATATTATTCATAATATTTTTATTGTTATCATGTAAAGTAGAATCTCGACTTACAGATGGTAGTGATAATAATTTAAATAATCCAACTTCTGGTACCCCAAATCAAACTTTTCAAATGAAATATCCACCTAAACCTTTTTTTGGGTAATCATATCATTTTAGTACTGCTATTAAACCATTTATTAAATAAATAATTAATGATTTGATAATTTTTCTTTCATAAATAATATTAGTCCAGATGGAGATTCAATGATAAAAACTCCTTCTGATATTGTTGACACTGACCCAAAACAACCAATACCCAAGTGTACTGATCTACTACCAGCTGATACTTATCCAATGCCAAGATGTGTCTCTAATATTATAACTAATTATCGTTTAGATCAGTTTGATATTCAAAAGGCAATGGGTTATCGATCTAAAAGGCAAACCAGTCATTTGGTAAATAAATTTTTTTTAACAATTGCTTATTTGCTTTCTTAATTTGTTTTTTTTTTTTGAATTAATTAATTTTTTGTTTGATTTTTTCTTTCTAGACTACTTTTTTTGCTCAATTTGTTAGTTTTGATATTATTGGTTCAAAAAGTCAAACTCAACCAAGTCTTAAATTATATATACCATCTGATGACGAAACATATAATACGTATAATTCTGTAACAGCATTACCAGTTCAATTAAGTAATTCAAAGGCTCTTCCTTTTAATCGTTCAGATTTTCTTCCTACTTCTACACAAAAACCCAAACGTACTGGTTATAATGATGTAACTCCTTTTCTGGACTTGAGTGCTATTTATGGTATCACTGCTGAAGATGAAAAAAATCTTCGCGAGGGCAATAGAGGAAAATTAAAAATCAGTGGAAATGCATATGACCCTTACCCATTTAAGGATCAAACAACAGGAAATTATGTTACTGGACCTGTTGGAAAGCGAGCAATTAATATTTTTACAATGGCAATTCAGACTATTTGGTTACGTGAACATAATAGATTATGTGATTATTTTCATGAAAAAAATGGTGATACATGGAATGACACTCAATATTATGAAGAGGCTGTAGGTTTTTATATCAATAATGCTAGTAATTGAGATGATGATAATAATAATTAATAAATAAATTTTTTTTAATTAGATGAAATGGAATATTGCATTTTATCAAAAAGTTGTTATTGAAGAATACCTTGGTGTTGTAACGGGTAAACCACTGCCACCATATCAAAAATACAATCCACATCTAACTCCAGGAATTGATGTATTTTTTTCAACAATAACTTTCAGATATGGTCATAGTGAGCTGAGTGATTTTTATCAAATTCATGATGATTATGATGGTACAATTGTGGAATTATCATTGCAAAATACTATGAAGATGGGTTTGCTAGAAAAATTTGGTGCAGCAAGATTGTTAAGATCAATGTCTATGCAACGTCAAGAAGATGTTGATATATATTATTCTGATGCATCAAGAAATGTTAAATCACCTGATCCAAACACTTATGATCTCCCAGCATTTGATGTTTTAAGAGCTAGAGACAGAGGTATGGATTTGTATATGTGTGTGTTGTGTGTATTTGTGTATATTTATATGAAATAAATAAAATTTTTTAAAAAAACTTTATATTAATATGTAGGAATTTCATTATATAATAATGTTCGTCAGGCATATGGTTTAAAAAAAAAAGATTCATGGGCAGATATAACTTCAGTTAAAGAAATACAAGATAATCTACAACAATTGTACCCTAATGGAGTTGATCAACTGGAAGCTTTGGTTGGAGCAATGGCTGAAGATCATTTGAATGGATCAAATTTTGGTGAATTAATGAACATTAGTATGATCACTCAGGTGAATGACATAAAAATTTATATTTATTATTATTATTACTTATTACTTATTATTAATCTAATATTTTTCAATCATTTGTTTATTTGCAGTTTATGAATATTAGAGATTCAGATAGATTTTGGTGGGAGAATAAAGATAATGGCTTGTTTACTGATGAAGACAGAGCCATAATTAGAAATACAACATTTAGAGATATTATTATGCGTAATTTAGCAGCTATTTTTCAACCAGCAATCCCACAAAGTATTTGGTCAGTCCAGCCACCACAGAAATTGGCTGACACACAATTAAAATACCTTAATCGTATTGCTTTATGGCCAACAGCATATATTGTTGGTTATGAAATTGTTGGAAATGATATTAACTTCCAAGTTCAAATACTTACTACAGGTGGTAATGCATGGTTTGGAATGGTGAGTTGGATATTTAGTTGATGATGTCATGATTATGACAATGATGGTGATAAAATTATAAATATATTTATTTATTTAAATAATAAAATAGGGATTTGATCCTGATGATGATGGTATGAGTAATGCAGAATTTATAGTTGGAATTGTAAGTTTATTTTTTAAAAAAACAATTGCTGTAAAGTTAAACATAAAACATAAAAATATAACATCATAATTTTTGTTTATTTAGATTTCTAATGGAAATATATCATCTTTATCAAATTATGATTCAACTGGTTACAACCCTCCTATGTATGTTGGTGATGATTCAGATTTACAAATTATTAAATTCACTCCCCCTGCCAATGACAATTTTGCAATTATTGAATTCTCAAGACCTTTAGAACCTAGTGGAAGAAAACCAATTAGAAATGGACTTATGAAATGTAATTTTATTTGTTAACTGATAATTTTGCAAGCTAGTTTTTCTCTCTAATAACAATAATATCCATTTATTTTTAGATGTTTTGGCTTATAACCCTACAAGCTCTGTATTTTCATATCATCAAAATAATCGTCAAATTATGCAGATTAATTTTTACAATTATATATTATTATCACCATCTAATGGTCTAAGATATGTGAAATTAGCTCATGGACTTGGAATGTTCTTAAGTTGGTGGTAGGATATTGATGTTATATATATATATATATATATATATTAAATATTAAAGATATTTATTTGTCTCACATTTCACATCATAAAAATTATTAATTTCCATTTCCATAATAGTGTTCTATTCCCTGCTTCTATTTACATTGTAAGATATTACAAACACACCAATAATTACATCAAGATACATCGATTTGTACAATTGCTTGGTAGTATTTGTATTGTTGGTTTTGGTGCAGCAGCTATGGCAACATTGAGTATAAAAACAAATCATTCATTGTTGGGACTGTCAATATATATTTTGTTGTTTATTGAACTTGGATTAGGTCTAATATCAATTTGGGGTCAAGAGGCAATAGTGTCAGTTAATCAGGGGTATCCTAGATTTGTTAAAAGAATTCACAGATTTTTTGGAATTTCTTTAATATTATCTGCATGGGTAAATGTATATTTGGGAATTGAAACATATTCTTTATCTTATGGAGTTGAATCATTATATTATAGGATTGCATATCTTGCATGGATTGGTGTAGTGATAGTAACATTTATGTTTGGTGAATATTGGTGGAATTGGAGAGGAACTTGGAAATGGAAATACATCCAGTTGAATTTTGAAAAAGAAAAAAAATCCATTCTTTCATTGCATATTACCAAAGATCTTGATAAATTACCAGAATTTACATGGAGAGAAGTTAATGAACGTGTTCAACGTGGAGCATATTTAGTAGTTTGTGATGGGTTTATTGTTAATATGAGAAAATGGATTAGGGTACATCCTGGTGGAGCAAAAATTCTTGAGAGTGTCATTGGAACAGACATAACAAATGATTTTTTTGGTTATAAAGGTAAAGAGATTATTGAGCATATTGATTTACCAGAAATAAAAAGCACTGGAAATTCAACAGCAAATGAATCAGTTTTAGGGCAATATACAAATATTTTACATGAGAGAACCAAGAAATACACAACTCAAAAAAATTCAGTTGCACAAGTTGTTGATGATATGAATATTAAATATTTTTTAAAGGCACCTTTGGCTATTCACCCACATAGTTTATTTGCAATCAAAAAAATAGCAACAATGGTTGTGGCAAAATTAAAAAATAGCTCAGATGTTGAGTTATCATCTGCACCAATATTTGAACCAACAGATGTAGCTGATGGAGGATTAAGTGACGAGGAAATTGCTAAACAAGACACAGCATTTAGAATAATGTTTCGCAGATACAAATTGACATCTAAAGTACCTGTAAATGCCAATAAAGAATTTCCAGTGATGAAATTCACATTCACAATAGTACATCAAAATATAGACGGTTATAAAAGTCGTCATCATAAATTGAAATTCTTGCCAGGACATTATATTGAAGTGCAATCAAGAATCAAAGGACAAGTGGTAATTAGAAGTTACACACCAATAGAAGGCAATATTGTTCAAAGTTTCAGTATTTTTGTTAAAGTGTATCCAGATGGGTTAATGTCACGACATTTGGTAAGTCCCTTGTAACAATTTATAATTATATAATTAGTGCTATTATTAAAATTCATTAGTCATTAATTAATTAATTGTTTGACTGCTTAATAATTACGCTTTAGAATGAACAATTAAAAGGATACGAGATTCAAGTGAGAGGACCATTTGATGTTGGAGATAGAGAAGTTTTGGAAACATCATCAATATCCCAAGCTGCTGATATAACATCATTATATAGAAAATCAAGTTTATATACAAAAAAATATATACCATTTATATCTTCATCAACAAGTTCTTTACTTAATCCTAATACTCATGATGGTCATTGGAAAGAATTATACATGATTTGTGGTGGTACTGGAATTGCACCAATGTTACAAGTAAGATTTTTATTGTAAAAATTTACATTCATTGTTTTCATTACTTATACTTATTATTATTATAATAAAATAGTTGATAACATACCATTTGGAATTATCTATGAGACGTAGTCATGCGTCAACAATGCGTAATAAAGAAGTAACAATGCATTTGTTATATGGTAATAAGAAAATAGAGGATATAATCAATGGTATAGAACTAGAAGAGTATGAAATGAGTAGTAGGGGTATGCTAACTATAACATATGCACTAGATGAACAAATTCAAGATTGGAAGGGGGAAAGTGGCGAAATTGATCAAGAAATGATTTTAGATTGGTTAAATTCAAAGGCAAGTAACTTGATTGTCAATAATAACAATAGCAGCAACGATTATGAAATCATCAACGACAACAATAATATAACTGTACCAAGTTCTTCTACTAGTCCAAATTCTTCAACTAATCCTACTAGTCTACTACCATATAAAAAACATCCATCATATGTTGCTTCATCCACTGATAAAAATAAGAAGCCAAATTCTGTACAATTTATTGATGATAACAATACAACAAATACAGCAAATTCACCAATAGCTAGTAGAAGTCCATCACGAACTAATACTCCTTTATCATATGTTGCTTCATTAACTGACAAAAATAAGAAGCCAAATTCTATACAATTTATTGATGATAACAATACAATGAATACAACAAATTCACCAATAGTTAGTAGAAGTTCATCACGACTTGATACTCCTTTGTCATATGTTAGCTCATTAACTAATAAAAATAAGAGGCCAAATATTATGCAATTTAATGATAGTAACAATACAACGAATACAACAAATTTACCAACAGTTAGTAATCCTAACGATAGCAACACTAATACAGATACAGTATATTTACCAGTTAGTACAATTCCTCCTCCAAATAATAATGACAATGATAATAATAATCTACCACCAACAATACCAATTCATACAAAACCTCGTAAAATATTATCACCAGCCAATAATGTTTATAGAACATCAATCAATCCCGAAAGTGCTTTAAGTCATAATTATAGTCGACATTATAGAACATCATCATCACAACAACATCGACAACCACAGTTCCAACACTATTCAACAATTTTATCACCACAACAACCATTAAATCCTCATATATTTAATAGTGCATTAGTTGATTCAAGTCAAAGTCCATCGCCTGTCGATATAAATGGTGATTCTGAAATTGATAGTCAATTTAGTGAAACGTATAGTAGTACTGCCGATGATAATAAAAAACCTAAACTTGATCCTAACAGTAAAATAATTGTTTGTGGACAACCTGGTATGATAAATGTAGTTGAGAAATCGTTAAAAAATCTAGGTTTTACTGAGGATGATTTTATATTGATAACATAGGGAAAACCTTATGATTTTTAAAAATTATTTATATAATGGTTTTTATACATATATTTATTTTTTTCCATGAATTAGCAATAAAAAAAAGAATTATTATTAATAACAAGAGAAACCAATTAATTGAAGGGATTGAAATCATGCAAAAGGAAATTTAATTTTTTATTTATAATTTAATTAATATATATATATATATATATACAGTACTTACCCAAAAGTTTCGGACCCCCTAAGTTCATTAATTACGCAAAATACTACATAACATTTACACAAAAAATTTATATTTATTTATAGCTTAGATTTTCGAGAAACTATATATAAAATTCCAGGCTTTTAGCACTGATAGATCTCAAATAATAATAAATAAAAAATTCCTGATTAATTTTCGAAAATAAAAATTTTGAAGATCAATTTTTTGACGGATTTTTTCAACATCAACATTTAAATATACACATTTAAAATTTAATATTTGGTAGGCCATCCATTACTTGCAATGCATGCTTCAATTCTACGAGGCATACCTTCAACTAATTTTAAGTAAACATCATCTGGAATTTTATTCCATTCTTCAACTAAAGCAGCCTCTAATTCTTTTAAATTTTTTGCTGGTTTTGTTTTTTTTCGAATACGAGTTTCCAATTCATTCCACAAATGTTCAATTGGATTTAGATCAGGAGACTGGCTTGGCCAATTTTCCAAAATTTTTATTTCATTTGTTTTTAACCATTCCTTAACTTTTTTAGCAGTATGAACTGGCGCATTGTCATCTTGGAACAGATAACCTCTATTATTAAAGTCATTGTTTATTAATGGTAGCAAATAAGATTGGAGTATTTTGATGTAATCATGCTGGTTCATTTTTCCATCAACTTTTACTAGTGGTCCTAATCCTTTTTCCAGAAAAACAGCCCCAAAACATTACACCACCGCCTCCATGTTTGACTGTGGGTCTCAGATTCTCGATATTGTATCTTGTTCCAGGTATTCTCCAGACATGACCTGGGCCATCATTCCTAAACAAAGTAAACCTACTTTCATCGCTCCATATTACATTTTTCCATTTTCTTATACTCCAATCTTTTCTTTTTAAGCACCAATTCAAACGATTTTGTCTTTGTTCTTCACTAATAAGAGATTTAGATGCTGGAACACAGGAAAAAATATTGAGATCATGCAAGCCTCTTCTGACTGTGTTTATTGAAACTTTCAAACCAGTTTTTTGATTGAGTTGATTTTTTATTACTTTAGCTGTTTTGTGGTTATTTTTCATGGCAATTTTTTTCAATAATTTTTGATGATCACTATTTAGTATTTTTGGTCGGCCACTTCAAGGCAAGTTTTTAACATCCCCTCTTTCTTCATAACTTTGTATAGTTCGAATAACTGTGGTTTTAGAAAAGCCAAGGATTTTACTAATTTTTGTTTTTGAAGTATTACCTTTATAAAGACCAATAATTTGACCACGATCAGCTTCAGTTAAATTAGTCATTTTCGTGTTGTTTAAAAATTTATCAAAAAAAAAAGATAATAGAATTACGTAGAAAAAAAAATTTTTTTGTTTTTTTTTGAGATTCCAATGATCTTAGACTATCACATATAAAAATTTCAAAACACATTTCTATATAGATTTTGGTGCAATTGTTAAAAAATCACTTGTCAAGATCTTTTATTTTCGAAAATTAATCAGAAATTTTTTATTTATTATTATTTGAGATCTATCAGTGCTAAAAGCCTGGAATTTTATATATAGTTTCTCGAAAATCTAAGCTATAAATAAATATAAATTTTTTGTGTAAATGTTATGTAGTATTTTGCGTAATTAATGAACTTAGAGGGTCCGAAACTTTTGGGTAAGTACTGTATATATATACATATTATGCATTATTTGTTCTAATAATAATAAAAATACTAATTTTTTTTTTACACACGAGTAATTTTTTTATAATATATAAGATTTAACAGATCTCCATTCATTCTGATAGACTTCAGAAGGAATTAATGATGGTAATAGACATAAAAAAAAAGACCTTGAACTAATAATCAATTTCATAAACCAAAAGTTTTCTTTTGTGTTCAATAGATCTACTATGTTTGCATTTATCATAATCACCAAATAAATTTAGCTTTTTTGCCTCTTCTTCTAACACTGGTACTACTTGATCTTTAAGGTAACTCTCGGAATAAATAGTGTAGGCATCACCTTGATATATTGGTGGGTCCCTATAACTATGACAATTTTGAAGAATCATATAAAGATCAACTTTAGAGTATCTGAGAGGATTAGCTATCTTTTCAGAGAATGTTTTAGCAACTTGTTTATTAGGTCCAAGGCAAGGCCAATTTTTTAACAAGTATTCCAATATAAGTCTCTGTCGGTGTGGCTTTTCTGCTTCATAGATTATTTGATTTTTTAATCTTTCCCAGTATTCTTTTGAAGGTTGTTCCTTAACCTCAGCAAAATGGAAAATTGCTCTTTTGTATGAAGCGAAACAATATCGGATATCATGAGATCTGTATTTTAATGTTAATTTCCCCTCCTCAATAATTTTATCAACAAGTTTGTTGATTTCCTCAATAAATATTTTTGATTTTTTCATATACAAACTGCATTCTTTATTGCGATCCTCACATTCTTCCATGAATTTTTTTTGAACCTCAAGCAGTTTTTTACCTTCCTCATCATAAGTTTCAAATCCATGCTCTCTAACATAATAATCTTTCTCAATAATATCTTTTCGCCAGAAATGTACCTCCTCTATACTTTTCTTAAATAAATAAGGTAATCCTATAAAGAAATCATCACCTCTAATAGTCTTTTCTCTGAAATTGTTAAATAAATAAATGAATAAATATGATTATTTAATCAATTAAACTTTATATAATTACTTACTCTCTTATAATGGTTCTTTCACAGTAACATTTAGTACAGCATCTTACATGAAACTGCCAATGTATTTGAGTTGATCTAATAAAACCACAAAATGTGCAGGATCGAGATGAATCAAGGAAGAATCTAATATACTGTAATTCAGTCCATTTTTGTGGGGGAGGTCGTTGCAGTCCTTCAAAATAAGCTGTTCTTGCTTTTTTCCAAATTTGTTGGTTTCCATCATCCATTAAGATATAATGGAATCTTGAACACGTTTACATCAGTGCCAACAAATCAGATGGTGGTAAATCTTCACAAACCTGGAAGAATATTTCAAGGGGCATATTTGGGAAAAGTGCCAACTGTTTCCTTCTGATGTGATATTTACTAAATTCATCGACATACTCGTTAAAAATCAAATCATACTTTGGTGGTAAAAGTTGAGATTTACTAATATAATAATAAATAAATAAATAAGCAAATAAATAAAATAAATAACTAGAGTGACGACGAGTGGCGGGCGATAACCACCACCACCATCCTTATGATAAACACTTACTCATAATGCTCGCCAACATCATAATTAAAGTTGTTAGCTGTAACTATTTTTTGATTTCCGAAATATTTCGGATTAGTGGTTGTACTCCGAATTGTTTCCGAA